AAAAAAAAAAAAAATCTTAGGAAATAATCTACAGATAGGCACAACACTCTGCCTAGTCAAAAGGTACCCCAAAGCCTTTTGTTTCGGACATTTTAATTAGCAATATCCTCAATCTTTGCATTGATACAGACCGTTTAGCTCAAGTAAAAACCAACAGCACGTAAACAGAGAGTGAGGAAAACATAAAATATATACCTGTACAGTCTGCTCATTTGTTTCGGAGTGGGCATCAAACTTTTGTAGGGTCAATCCGTCGGTCCACTTTTTCTTGTGAAGATTCAGAAGCATCTTCTCCTCAAGTTCATTTTTACGGTAATTTATGGCAATGGAATAGTAATGCCTATTCAGCCCATGAATCAATGCCTGCAATGGGTTAAGCTCCACAAAATAAGACATTATAAGAAATAAAACACTTTGAATTAAAGCAGCTCGACTTCAAATACCTGGATAGAAGGTTTGTTAAGATGCCCCAGGTTGGATGTCGTTTGTCTTGGCTCTTGACCGAGCATCATGGTTTGGGGATTTATAAGACGGAAGGCGTCTATCACGACCTTTCCTTTAACACTCTGGATTGGATCAACCACCACTGCTACCGCTCTCTGATTCAAAGCTTCAAAACTCTGCATTATAAGATACATGCAATTCAGTTTAGAAACTGATTAAACTAGTCATGGTAAATAAGGAAACGGACTACTGATAGCATTCACAGTCACATAATCCCGTTAATTGAACAAATATCGGCCTGAAGATGGGATGCGAACTCCCATGTGGACAAACTAAACAATCAAAAAAAGATTATATAGTTAAAACACAAACAAAGAGTGTTGTATAAATATTGCCAAAATTTAATCAACCATGTTTTGAACAAGACATAATGGAGGAGTAATAACCTGCTGAGTATTAATGTCAACACCAGAAAGCCAGCATCCAAAACCAGGATGTGAGTGGTACCAACCAACCACCATCTCAGGTCTGTCACAGAAAACAGAACATGATAACTTGATCATTTTCAGAGGCTTTACTTTCTAGTAATGGTTAAAAAAATCAATACATAGATACTCTAAAAAGTAACAGTTGATAGGTGGGGCTGAGAATGATGCAGCCTAACTTCTGATAAGAAGCAAAGCCCTCTATATTCTGAAGCAGAGATTACAGTCATTTATAAAATGTACTAGATAATAAGAAAAGCAAAGATCTGGCTCACAAAAGTGGACATAGAAGTAAAGTGACAAATAAATGGTAACTGACTAAATCAGAAATAGACAATAATTTTCATTTGAAGAACATTCATAGAATAAGTATATATGGCCTGACACCTTGATGAACAGCATAAATTTTTCCAAACAAGAATTACAAGCGGAGACCTTTCCTCCTATAAGTTGACCAAAAAAGATTAACTAACCGGCTGATAAACAGAGAAGACGTAACCAAGAAACAATCAAAATAGTCCTATATTTTTTCAAATGCTGCAACTTATATTTTGAACTCTGGTTCTAACAACGAATTTTAGCAGAAACTACAGCTAGATACGCTCATGATATGTGAACACAGCAATAATCTAATCATATCCATTATTTACTTCATTTTGCTGCAATGGTTCGATAGACGGCTCAATGGGATAGATGTATGTAGATGAACAGTAACCCCACTAAAACTGTATAGGAAATTTTCTCCTCGTATGGCTAACGAAAATGATTTTAGTCAGAGTTTTGTCAGCGAATGAAATAATTTCAATGACAAATAGGACTAGAAAATCAACTAAACTATAACTAAAATTTCTACCGATTTTGTTTCCAGCAAAAGTAAGGCAGCTCCAGGAAATGATATATTAAATTTTGTGTAACACACACAATTTAACAACACAACAATGTAGCCCGCTCCAATGGTTGGAGAACAAACTATGAATACTGTCATCTCAGCCGGCTAACAACATTTCCACTTTACTTCCAATGGAAGCAAATTTCACTAAAATCTAAAATCTCAAATTAATCATACCACATAAATAAAAAAATAAGAAAATCTGAAAATATTTGCTCCCAGATGATGATATTTTACTCTTTTCTACCTGCCAGTTTGCTTAAGCATGTCGAGCATATTTGTCTGGAAAACGTGGTCAACAGCCTCAACACTAACGCCAGTCCCACTCTGAGGCATCGCAAAGACGTCTACCACCCGCACTGTATACTCGTCCACAAACTCCCCCAGCATGAGCCCCATGACTTCCATCGGCACCCCTGCCCTGCCTGTAGAAATTCCTCATAGTCAAAATAAACAAGAAACAAACAAGTTGCATTAGTAAATCCATGATTCTAGCGCGGAAACCCTAGATTTACCGTGCTTGAGCATTTTAAGTAGCGCGAGAGATGAGATGTAGACTTGCTCGGAAGTGTCGAGGGTTGGAGAATCCGGCGGCGGGTGGCGAAGAGCTCCTCCAGCGCCGGTGAACATCCGCTGCAATCTCTCCATGCCCGCCATTATCGGGGTTTTTTTTCGATTATATTCTTCTAGTTTGTGTGTCGTTTTAATGTCAGACGCAGGGAGCTCTGTTCAGATTCTGAAGTCGTACTTTCTTTTGCAACAAGAGGGATTATCTCATATTTTTTAACTACTTTTCATTTGGGGTTCTAATTATTATTATTATTATTATTACTCCTTTTAGGAAAATTTCACATTGTATCTCAAATATCCTAACATTTTTTAATATGAGATTCAATCAATCTCTTAATATATGGTATGATAATAATACCTCGGATCGGGTGGAATCCCTGAATTCTCGCTTTTCGTACCAATCAGTTGTCCTCGATCCCTGCAAAGAAGCCTAGACCGGAGGAGAAGAATCTCCGGCTTGGCCCTCCGACGGTCAAGTTAGTAATTTCAAGAGTATCAACCTCAAAACGTGATTTACAGAAGATGTTGTTGATATCCTGGAAAAACTTACCTCTCTTTCCCTTTCTTCTTGCTCTTATACTTCAAAGGAGATTTACCTGCTCCCGCATTCCCATGGCCACGTTCCGCCTGTCTTGGAAACCGTCCCCCTCACGCTCCACTAATATAACTGCCAATAGTTTCATCACGAGTTTTCCTCGATCTATCGAGAAGCTCGCTTCGGGCCGGTTTTGCTGGCACGCCTTCTATTAGGACCGGGTTAACAAAAATAGATTTGGAACCGTATTAATAATATCTCATATCATCTTGTCCCCCCACTCTGGTCGAGTCTGAGTGATTCGACCAAGAGTAGGTTGTGCCTATCTCGACCACTTGGTAATTATTTTTTCTGTACAATTTGTGATAATAATCTTTTTCTGATTGCATATCCTTTAATTAAGGATTTGAACATATCAAAAGAGGAGGATTTGCTTTTCCATATACTAATGATGACTTACCACGTGAGATGGCCCTCTTTCCCAGGTTTCCTCGTTTATCCCACTTATGATATACACACGCCCATTCTAACCATAAGATCGATTTCTATCTAACGGCTCGAATCGAGATCAACCTTTCATCTTACTGCCCCTTATAAAAATCACACCTTTTCATCCTCTGCCAATTTTCACCGACTACAGATAAGTTCTTTACTGATATTCTCTTCAAGGTTTTTCCGGCCATCTCCAGACTGCGCCTTGATTAATACCGTCAGCCGTTATAATGAGTAAGTTCCCGTTTCTGCTTTATATGTTAATTTTAAGATCCTTCCCCTTTTTTCTGATTACAGAACGATTTTATGTCCTTTCTTTTTCTTTCGAACTCTCAAATCCTTGTATATCTCTACTTCGCCGGCGCCCAAGGTCTTATGCATATCAGTATATGCTTAATCGTTTGCTTCCTTCCAATTTCTTCAGATCCCTCGAACTCTGGCGAAAATGTCACCGCCGGCAGGGGTACAACTCTTCCCCCTCCTTTAAATGTCACTTCTCTTAGCGTTCTTCGACCAGAAGGCATTGAGCCTGAGTCTTTCCTTTTACCTCCACCACAAACCGGGAATCCTCAGCGTCGCCGTAGACCCGTGCTAGGGGAAATGGATGAGACCGAAGCAAGCGAAGAAGATGAGGATAACAGACCCCTTAGCGCTTTTATTCCTCCTCCTCGAACCAACCTTGTGTCTAATCAGCCGTCATCTTCTTCGACTATACCTGCTTGTACGTCGACATTTAAATCCAAGGATTCCCGTGGTCGCACCCACACCCTTAAATGGGTGGATCATGATAAATACGGCCATCCTGGAACTTACCTACGACCAGACCCTAGTGATGATGCTTTTCAGCCTCCCGAGGGGTACTATACCTTTTTCAAAATCCATCTCGACATGGGAGTTAGGTTTCCCCTCTGCTCGGATCTCTTGAATCTTTGCTCATGGTTTAATCTACCCTTAAATCAATTGCCTCCTAACGCCGTTCGTACTCTTATCTCGTATATCATCTTGTCTCGTATTCGCCTGAGTAAGCTCGACCTGAGTTTCTTTTCTTACTGCTATCTTCTTTCCAAAGGTCCAGTGGGCATATATTTGAAAGGCAAAAATGGTGTAGCTTTTATTTCAGATCGACCATCTAATTGTCCCGGGTGGAAAAATACTTTTACATTTGTAAAACCCGCTTCCTCATGGCCTTGGGATCCCTTGCCATGGATCACAGAGGTTCCTCAAGAGATCGTAGCTCCTTCTCCTGATCCTTTGTTTGGTCAGCGCATACACTGTTGGAATTCAAAACCAGTTAAGTCGAACATTATTATAAAAAATAATAATCTCCTCCACTATTGCGGTATTCTCACCCACAAGACTCTGCCTCCTCCTACTATCGATGTCATAGAATCGATCAGGATTCCAAATGATCCCAGTATAATTCATGTTTGGTTGTTTACATTTTTTGTATTTGGCGCGGTATTATCTAACGCTTATGTTTATTATTGCGTATGTTCTTTGCAGAGATGCCATCTGTTCCTGTGGTCAAGAGGAGAGCTCCCCGAAAGAAAGTGGCGAAGACTGCTGATTTAGCAGCAGATTCCTCGACTCCTCCCGCTAATGTGAACGATGCGGCAGTTCATGGGTCTTCTACTCAGCCCGAAGTAACGCATCCCGCTGAGGTCATCTCTACTGCTGCTGATACTGTCGCTACCGTAAAACTGGAGTATTGGTTTAACTTCTCCGTGAAATCTTCGAAGTCTCTGATCGATCCCGAGGGAAGTTGGTTAAACCAATCCAAGGCTCCTCCCCTTAGGGTCGACAAGAACGCCCTACAACTTACCGCCTCTGAGTACCCATGCAAAACTGCCATGTTCTCAAAAGTTCGAACAAATCGCGACGGGTCTGTTGTTCCATCAAACACCAAATGGGTTTCTTTGAAATTTCCTGGCAGTGGTGCATCCAAAATGCGGGTTGAAAAAGGGTGCCCCTGAACGCGCCCTGATGATCGACCATCAACTCTTTCTTGCAGTTGTCTTACTTGCTTGACCAGTCTTTCCATTTCCCCTCCATGAGGAAGTGCTTCTCTGTGGCTAGACGCATCCTCCTCATTAGCCTCACTCATTGTTGTCGGGGCGGCTGTTGCTTGAGATTGACTGGCTGTTACTTGTCGTACCGCTCGAGCAGTAGCATTGGCTATCATTTGCTCCAACTGTTCTCTGGTCAAAGTCACTACTTGCTGTCTTGGAGGTCGATCCGCCATCAATGGCGGTACAGGTTGGGCTCCAACTTTCTCATTTTGCACTATTACCCAGTTTGCTTGAGGTGGTGGCTCGACCACCCTATCCTGCTCTCTATTCGCTGGAGGTATCACCGGTTCCCCTCCGCCTTGGGTTGCTATCGCCGGATCTCCTCCACCTTGGGTTACAGTTTCTGGATTTCCTCCACCTTGAGTTACAGTTGTTGGATTTCCTCCACCTTGAGTTACAGTGGCTGGATTTCCTCCACCTTGGGTTATAGTGGCTGGATTTCCTCCACCTTGGGTTACAGTCGGATGACTCCCCGGTGTTTGTGATGCCCCGGAAAAACCCGGGGGTGGGCCCTCCCCTATCGGCCTCGTTTCCATCCACGCATTGTCAAATGATGATTGCAAATTTTTCCTCGGGGGGTGGATGCCTAGAGTTTGCTAAGCTGTTTTGAATCAAGAAAGGTCGGGTCAACAACGTTCGGCATAGCTCCAGATTTCGTAAAGCAAGAGCTTTTTTTATCTTTTTGCCACAGACGGCGCCAAAATGGTATGATAATAATACCTCGGATCGGGTGGAATCCCTGAATTCTCGCTTTTCGTACCAATCAGTTGTCCTCGATCCCTGCAAAGAAGCCTAGACCGGAGGAGAAGAATTTCTGGCTTGGCCCTCCGACGGTCAAGTTAGTAATTTCAAGAGTATCATCCTCAAAACGTGATTTACAGAATAAATGTTGTTGATGTCCTGGAAAAACTTACCTCCATTTCCCTTTCTTCTTGCTCTTATACTTCAAAGGAGATTTACCTGCTCCCGCATTCCCAGGGCCACGTTCCGTCTGTCTTGGAAACCGTCCCCCTCACGCTCCACTAATATAACTGCCAATAGTTTCATCACGAGCTTTCCTCGATCTATCGAGAAGCTCGCTTCGGGCTGGTTTTGCTGGCACGCCTTCTATTAGGACCGGGTTAACAAAAATAGATTTGGAACCGTATTAATAACATCTCATATCAATATATAAAGAAGCAATGATATCTATACTTATATAAAAAAAGAATTCTATTTACTAGAATTAGTAGTAAGAAAAGTCAAAGGTAATTAATGCATTTTATTTCCATCAAGTATTTTATTTAATTATTTTAGTTAGTTGTTTTATCTCATAACACATTTTCAATACACACTACAAGAAATTGTCAAAACGCCAACAAAAATTACCAACAAAATTTTTTCCGTTGGGGATTGCCAACGAATCGCCAACGGATTAGCAATGCATTCCATGTACAATTTTTTTAAACAGATTACCAACAAAATACTAACAAGATAAAGCAACGGAAAATTACTCTTCATAATCTGTTGGTAAATAGTGACAGAAATATTCCGTTAGTAAACATAAACAAAATACCAATAGAATAGCAACAAAGTCTTTCAAAATTGTATTAGCAACGGATTACTCTGTTGGTAAATAGCAACATATTTTTTTCATTGGCAAATAGCAACGGAATAGCAACAGACATCATCAATATTGTATTAGTAACGGATTATTCCGTTGGTAAATAGCAATGATTTTTTTCGTTAGCAAATAGCAACGGAATAGCAACAAAATCATCAATATTGTATTAGCAATAAATTACTTCGTTGGCAAATAACAACGAAATGTTTTCGTTAGTAAATAGCAAAGAAATAGCAACGAAAATCTTCAATATTGTATTAGCAACAGATAATTTCGTTGGTAAATAGCAATGGATTTTTTCCGTTGGCAACTAGCAAGGGAATAACAACAAACTCCTTAAAAATTGTATTAGCAACGGATAATTCCATTGGTAAATAGCAACGGAATGTTTCCGTTGGCAAATAGTATCTGAATAGCAACAAACTCTTCAAAAACTATATTATCAACGAATTATTTCGTTGGCAAATAGCAACATAATTTTTCTGTTGGCAAAAAGCAACGGAATAACAACAAATTAATCCAAAATTGTATTACCAACAGATTATTCCGTTAGTAAATAGCAACGCAATTTTTTCATTTGCAAATAGCAACGGAATGATTTAGCAACTCCATTTTCTGTTGAGAATCCCTTAGCAATCTCATGAAACATTTTCGTTGCAAATTTTTTGGTAATCCGTTGGGAATTTTCCCAACGGATTGTATTTTCCGTTGGCAAAAGTTAGTAACAAGGCACATAGCAACAAGAAAATCTGTTGGTAAACCGTTAGCATTCCGTTGGGAAATTTGATTAGCAACGGATTATTCCGTTGGTAAAACTCATATTTCTTGTAGTGACAACTTACCATGATTTTTCTATTGCGATGAAAAACTAAATTGTACGTTTAAAATCTTGTGAAATTATTATTATTATTTTTATAAAACACATATTATTTGTTAAAAAATTGTATATATATAATACACATCACAGTACCATGGTAGATGATTTGAATTTCAACCGACCAAAATGTCAATGATTTAAATTTGAACACACCTATGCGTTTGACCAAATGTCTGGATGATTTAAAATTGAGCCCATAAAAAATTATTTAAATTTGAACACACTAGAATTTTTATGTACTTTTTATTTATAAATATATTGAAAGTGGTATTTAATTGTTGTTATATGAACTATTTTAATATATTTGCAATGAATAAAAGTTTGAATTAATAATTTATAATGTTATTCATAATGTTTGTGACTTATGAGACACGTACACATAACTCCATACATATTTACAAGAGGGCGGCTTGCAAGAGGGCGGCTTAATAATTTTTTTGACTTAACGTTGATTAAAAGATGTAGAAAATAAATAATAACATTATTACTTTTTAGACTTAAACGAACAAGGTTGTGAAAATAACTCATTTAATATCTTTGTTACGTACTAGTATACTTTGGAGGTAGAATCATGATGTATTATGTACTGTATAAAATCCTATATTTTGGGAATGTTTTATTATGTTTTTAATTGTTTGTGAG